TTCATTTTGTGATATCTACATTTTATTATTTATTAATTATTTAAATATTATCAATTTAATTATGAATTATTTATTAAGTTCTTATTATTTCTTTATTATTTATTTATTTTTTTTATTATTTGTTATTAATTATTTATTTCTCATTATTTCTTTTTTATTATTTATTACTTATTTTTTATCATAAATTTATTTTTTATTTTGTATAATTTTTTTTCTTTTTTTTCTTTTATTATTTGTTAAATATTATTTATTCTTTTTTATTATTTATTTTGAATGATTCATTTTGTGATATCTATATTTTATTATTTATTAATTATTCAAACCATTTATTTCTAAATTTTTTTTCTTAGTACTTTGTACGAAAGTGCACTTTTATTGTTTTGTAAGCCCGTTTATATATATATATATATATATATATATATATATATATATATATATATATATATATATGAATAAATAAATATAATTAATTTTATTATGAATTATTTATTAAGTTTTTATTATTTCTTTTTTTATTATTTATTAATTCATTAATTTAATTATTAATTATTTATATTTTATTAGTTATTTTCAATAATTCATTTTTTATTATTTACTAATCATTTATGAATTGTTTATTATTTATTTTTAATTATTCATTTTGTAATATGTATATTTTATTATTTATTTATATATCATTAATTTAATTATGAATCATTTATTAAGTTTTCTTTTTAATTTATTTATTTTTCTTTTATTATTTGATTTTGAATGTTTTGAGGTGGTGCTGGTAACACTGGCAGAACAGGTGGTTCTGCTTGTTCCATTATTTGGCCCTCTTCGTTATTTTCATAATTCCTATTATTCTCATTATTTTCTTCATTTTCCACATTCGTAACCTTCTTCAATTCGAAAATATTAATTGCGTCTTCTACGCAAATTGCGAAAGCACATTTCAGTACCTCTTGGGGCGTATACGTGCCGTTATCCAAATTCTCCCAAAACCTCTTAATATTTTTTTTCGATTTTTCTATGATTTTTGTTGAATAGCAATTTCTAGAATTATTTGAATCTATGTTAGCTTTGTCTTTGAATGTTCTTGATTGAAGGTCAATGATTTTTTCTATAATTAAGCAACAAGAATACAATCAGAAATCGACTACTGGTGCTGTACTGACCACTACTGGCTCAGTACTGGTACCCAGTATTGGTGCCAGAGATGGCGTTACTTTGGGATGATAACACAGCCCCACAAAAAAAAAAAGTTTCATGTACTTTTGACCGGAATACCCTAACCCTATGTATTTTGACGCGCTGAACATAAATCCGAAGTCCGTTTTGCTCCATCACGTCAGGATTTTTTTCTAACCTCAAAAAACATGTCGGATTTTGAGAAGTAAGCGATTTTTTTAAAAATTGATGTATTAACTTCAAACTTGGTATCTGGGGGTTTTTTGTGTCGCTGATTACGAATCTGAAGTTAGATTTTCAAATTCCAAAATGGCGGATCCAATATGGTGGATGAATTTTGAAAAAAATTTAAGATTTACTTCAAACTTGGTATCTAGGGTTTTTTTGGGTCGCTGATTACGAATCTGATGTCAGATTTCCGAAATTGGATATGTCTGATTCAATATTAAGGAATTATTTTTAAAAAATTGTCAGATTATTATGAAATTTGGTATCTACAGGTTTTCTAAGTTGCTGAAAAGTAACACTAGGGATGTGCCATACGCCGATTTTTCTGAAACTTGGCAGTTTAGTAGTTTTTGGAAAACAATTTGAGACGTATGTTTTGTTTTTTCCCAAAAGCTGATTTTTCGGGGGGAACTACCCCTTGAATTTTTTTTTGGTAGGGGGACATTATTTTACAAAATTTTTTAAAAATTAATGTGCAATAGTGTATCTGGGGGTTTTTTGGGTCCCTGATTACTAATCTGATGTCAGATTTCAAAAATTCAAAATGGCATATCACCATGGACTTCTATCGGCCATATTAGATACGCCATTATCAATTTTTGAAAACTGACATCAGATTCGTAATCAGCGACCCAAAAAACCCCCAGATACACTATTGCACATTAATTTTTAAAAAATTTCGTAAAAAAATGTCCCCCTACCAAAAAAAATTCAAGGGGTAGTTCCCCCCCATAAATCAGCTTTTGGGGAAAGACAAAACATACGTGTCAAATTGTTTTTAAAAAACTACAAAACTGCCAAGTTTCAGAAAAATCGTCGTATGGCACTTCCCTAGTGTTACTTGTCAGCAACTTAGAAAACCTGTAGATACCAAATTTCATAATAATCTGACGATTTTTTAAAAATAATTCTTTAATATTGAATCAGACATGTCGAATTTCGGAAATCTGACATCAGATTCGTAATCAGCGACCCAAAAAACCCCTAGATACCAAGTTTGAAGTAAATCTTAAAATTTTTTCAAAATTCGTCCTCCATATTGGATCCGCCATTTTGGATTTTGAAAATCTAACTTCAGATTCGTAATCAGCGACACAAAAAACCCCCATATACCAAGTTTGAAGTTAATACATCAATTTTAAAAAAAATCGCCTACTTCTCAAAATCCGACATGTTTTTTGAGGTTAGAAAAAAATCCTGACGTGATAGAGCAAAACGGACTTCGGATTCGTGTTCAGCGTGTCAAAATACATAGGGTTAGGGTATTCCGGTCAAAAGTACATGACACTTTTTTTTTTTGTGGGGCTGTGTAACATTTTGTCAGTACTGATTGCCAGAGTTAATACAATACTGGCAACCAGTACTGATCCAGTAATAAATATTTGTTTTATTGCATTAAAAAGCAGTAGTATGGCTTGAAACGGTATTGCCTTCTATTTTATTCATACTTTGAAATATCCTGAATAACAATATGTCCAGTATGAAAAATTGAAATATGAGAAATAACTTTTTAAATAATAATTATTAATATTGTTTTATCAACTATTATTAGCATTAGTAAAAATGTAAATAATGATTAAAATTAGTTTCATTGAAATAAGTTTTTTTAAAAAAAAGTGTTAGTGAATGTGCAAAAATTTCAAGTCTAAGTGAAAGTAGAGAAATGTCAAGTGTAAATGTAAGTCTCAGTGTAAGTAAAGTAAAGGTCAAAAAATTTTAAGTGTAAGTGTGAAAATTATAAGTGTGAGTGCAAGTGAAAGTGAATATGTGAAAATTTCTAGTGTAAGTGAAAGTGTAGGAATATCAAGTGTAAATGTAAGTGGCAGTGTATGTAAAGGGTGAGTGAAAATGTAAGTGAAGTGTCAGTAAAAGTGTAAGAGAAAATATAAAAATTGTAAGTGGAAGTTTAAGGAAAGTGTTAAAATTATAAGTGAGAGTGCAAGTGAAAGTATATAAATTTCATGTGTAAGTGAAAGTGTGAGTGAAAATGTAAGTGAAGTGTCAGTGAAAGTGTAAAATTTGGAGTGTGAGTGTAAGTGCAAGTATAAAAATTTTAAGTAAAAGTGTAAATGAAAGAATAAAAAGTGAAAGTGTAAGGAAAGTGTTAAAATTATAAGCGTAAGTGTAATCACGCGAACGTTCCCCAGAAAGTGTAAAATTTTTTAGTAAAAGTGTAAGTGAAAATGTAAGTGAAAGGAGGTGCAAATGAAAGTATAAAAATTTTGAGTGAAAGTGTAGGTGAAAATGTAAAAATTATAAGTGTGAGTGAAAGTGTAAGTGAATGTGAAAAAATTGCAAGTGTAAGTGAAAGTATAGAGATGTCAAGTGTAAATGTAAGTGTCAGTGAAAGTAAAGGTGTAAAAATTTCAAATGTAGGTGTAAGTTAAGATGAAAGTAAAAGTTTCAAGTGCAAATGTAAGTGTAAGTGAAAATGATGGTGCGGAAATTTCAAGTGTAAATGTAGGTACGAAAGAATTCCAAACGTTTCTTGTGCGGATCATGTTCACCTTGTTTATAAATTATTATTATTTTAATCTTACTAATAAAGTTCCAAATTTCTGGTGTTTTTCCCAGCAGTACATTTAGTCTCGCTTCGTAGAGTAGGAAAGCATCCGTTAAATGGTCTGTATTTCTGTAAACTGACAGCTTTTCGACGGTGATGTTCTCTATAAGCGTTAAGGATTCTCGTAAAAACGGTTGTGCCTCTTGTTGATCTGTCATTCCGTTGATTAATTGGTGGATTTCACCACTTGGCAGTAATGGCAGCGATAGCAAATTTTTCATTAATAATTTAATTTCATTGTTAACGATTTCTTCATCTTCTACTTTTAAATGATTTGAAGATTTCTACAAATCTTTTATTTGTTGGTTTGTTTATTTATTTATTTACTTATTTATTGAAATTTATTGAAAGTATAGAAATGTCAAGTGTTAATTTCAGTGTCAGTGTAAGTAAAGGTGTAAAAATTTCAAGTGTAAATCTAAGTTAAAATGTAAGTGTAAGTGAAAATTAAAGTATAAAAATTTCAATTGTAAATGAAAGTGAAAGTGTTAGTGTAAGTGTAAAATTTTAAGTGAGAGTGTAAGTGAAAGTATAAAAATTTGAATAAAAGTGTAAGTGAAAGTGTAAGTGAAGGGTAAAAATTATAATTGTAAATGTAAATGGCAGTGTAAGTGTAAGTGTTTAAATTTCATGTGAAAGTTTAAATGAAACTGTACGTGAAAGTATAAAAATTGTAAGTGAAAGTGTAAGTGAAAATGTAAATGAAAGTATAAAAATTATGAGTGAAAGTGTAATGAGAGTGTAAAAATTGTAAGTGTGAGTGTAAGTGAAGTGTAAGTGATTGTATAATTAAAAGTCTCTTTATTTATTTTCATTCCTTTATGTACACCGAAAAAAAAATTCTTAAAAGAAGAGGAAAATTCCTCTTGCTAAAATCCTCTTGAATCAAGAATATTCCTCTAATTCTTCGAGTATTTTCCTCTTATTTTAAGAGGAATAATCTTAAATGCAGAAGAATCCTCTTAAAATAAGACGTATCCTTTTGCAGCATATACAAGAGGAAAATATGCATTGAAATAAGAGGAATCCTCTTGATCCAGGAGGATTTTTTTTCGGTCTAATAATCCATTTATTATTCTTTATCTTTTTATTCTAACCTCTTCATAGCAATAAAAACTTCCATGAACATCCGCTTCTGGAAAGACAAATTCAAGAGCAGCCTCCATGATTTGGTTGAATAGAGTAATCACTGTCTCCATCAGCATTTCGGGCATTATCTCTCTCAATTTTAAAAATACATTATTGTACGACTCCAATGTGTTGTTTGTCATCAGGACCCATATAATGGGGAGCACCTAGATACAAATATTAGGCATTTTGAAAAATAAAAGTGTCCTCTAAATTGAAAAAAGTATCAAAAATCCCAACATGTACTTACAAAGTTTTTGTCGCCATAAACAGCCATTATTGTCACCAATTGTTGGCATCCAATATTAGATGGGAAGTGCTGCTTTACTTCATTAATAAAAAAAAATTTTTAGCCATTACAGATCTAGTGAAAGCCACATCTAAAATTATTAGTGACATGTTGTCGGTAGTCATCTCGAGTTCCAGGGTGCCATCAACATATCTTCTCAGATGACTCTAGGCATTTGAATTCAAAGTATCTCTGAGATCTTCAAGAGATTCTGTTAATATAAATGATGGTGGAATATTGTTTTTTCTCGCGTTTATCAGTGAGGTTTTCAACTGAGCAAATGGCAATCGTTGACTTGCACTTTGGTGGCTAAAAAAAATACATTTAATAAAGAATTACAGGATTTTTAATAAAAATAAATAATGAAAATTAAGTAATAAATAATTAATAAATAATAAAAATAAATAAAAAATTAGTAATGTTATAAAAAATAAATAATAAAAAATAAATAACAAATAATAAAAATAAATTATCAAATGTAAGTAAATAATAATAAATAGATATTAAAAAATGAAAAATTAATAATAAATAATAAAAAAAATAACAAATAATAAAAGAAAAATAAATAAATTAAAAAGAAAACTTAATAAATGATTCATAATTAAATTAATGATATATAAATAAATAATAAAATATACATATTACAAAATGAATAATTAAAAATAAATAATAAACAATTCATAAATGATTAGTAAATAATAAAAAATGAATTATTGAAAATAACTAATAAAATATAAATAATTAATAATTAAATTAATGAATTAATAAATAATAAAAAAAGAAATAATAAAAACTTAATAAATAATTCATAATAAAATTAATTATATTTATTTATTCATATATATATATATATATATATATATATATATATATATAAACGGGCTTACAAAACAATAAAAGTGCACTTTCGTACAAAGTACTAAGAAAAAAAATTTAGAAATAAATGGTTTGAATAATTAATAAATAATAAAATATAGATATCACAAAATGAATCATTCAAAATAAATAATAAAAAAGAATAAATAATATTTAACAAATAATAAAAGAAAAAAAAGAAAAAAAATTATACAAAATAAAAAATAAATTTATGATAAAAAATAAGTAATAAATAATAAAAAAGAAATAATGAGAAATAAATAATTAATAACAAATAATAAAAAAAATAAATAAATAATAAAGAAATAATAAGAACTTAATAAATAATTCATAATTAAATTGATAATATTTAAATAATTAATAAATAATAAAATGTAGATATCACAAAATGAATAATTAAAAATAAATAACAAATAATAAGAAAAATTACAAATAATAGAAAAAAATGATACAAAATAAATAAAAATAAGTTATAAATAATAAAAAATAGATATTAAAAAATAAGTAAAAAAATAAATAATAATATTATCTTACAAATCTGCTGTCGAGTTATAAATATCAATCAGCGGTCCAGGTTGTGTCGTCGCTGACGTCTTTAATGTCGTCTTGAAGGAGGTGTTTTCTTCATATAAAAGTGACGCATCAGTCGTGTGACTATGTTCCCTTGTCATTGCAAATGTACCATCTACATCCAATTTTCCACGTCCACCACAATTTTTTTTCTTATGAAAAATACATTTTAAGTATCTGTAACAATAATAAATTTAATATAATATACAATTATTTTTCAATTAATTTTTATTAATTAAATAATATATTTGTCAAATAAATAAACAATTGCTCAAGTCTCATTTTAAAGTAAAAAAAAACCTTTAAAAAAGAATAAAAAAAAAATTTTCCACTCCAAATCTTTAGAAAGGGAAAGAATTTGAAATTTATAAAATATACTCACATCACATTTCTGATTAAACTATATTTCATATAATGATGTCCATGGAAATTATATAGTCGAGGCATTTTGTGACGAATCAGAATTACCAAAAAGTGAAATGTAACTCGTTTTGCTACCAGAAGACTAATAAAAGTATTGAATATAAAACAATTGCCTGATGATGAGAAACAAAGAAAGATGAAAAACAGTTGAATTAATTTGTTTATCACCTGGTAACGTGTTAATTCACGGAAAGATAACACGATCACATTTTAGCATTAAAGATCAGGAACTTCATTAACAAAATCATTTGTTTTTTAATGCTAAAATTTTTTCCGTGAAATAAATTTTCCGGCAATTGACACCTTACCCACCTCTTTCACAATTCTGAGTTTATACAAGGTGTAAAAAATATGACAAATACCAAAATTTAACTCAAATGAAAAAATTATTTTAGTTAATACAAATCCTAATAAAAAAAGAGTACAAGTGTAAACACGAGAAATTTTAATCTTGCTTTTTGTTTTTTTTTAAGTTCTGTAGATTCGTAAATTTTGAGTTAAGGGGAAAAGTTTGTTAGGATAATTTGTAGAACTATGATTATTCTATCCAGAACTCTACTCTGAACTCACAAAAAGTAAATTTTTTGCAAAATTATATTTTTTGCATTTTTAAAATACTGTAGATTCTTAAATTTTGAGTTGAGGGGAAAAGTTTGTTAGGATAATTTGTAGAACTATGATTATTCTATCCAGAACTCTACTCAGAACTCACAAAAAGTAAATTTTTTGCAAAATTATATTTTTTGCATTTTTAAAATACTGTAGATTCTTAAATTTCGAGTTGAGGATGAAAGTTTGTTAGGATAATTTGTAGAACTATGATTATTCTATCCAGAACTCTACTCAGAACTCACAAAAAGTAAATTTTTTGCAAAATTATATTTTTTGCATTTTTAAAGTACTGTAGATTCTTAAATTTTGAGTTGAGGGTGAAAGTTTGTTAGGATAATTCGTAGAACTATGATTCCTCTATCTAGAACTCTGCCCAGAATTCACAAAAAATAAATTTTTTGAAAATTATATTTTTTGCATTTTTAAAATACTGTAGATTCTTAAATTTCGAGTTGAGGATGAAAGTTTGTTAGGATAATTTGTAGAACTATGATTATTCTATCCAGAACTCTACTCAGAACTCACAAAAAGTAAATTTTTTGCAAAATTATATTTTTTGCATTTTTAAAGTACTGTAGATTCTTAAATTTTGAGTTGAGGGTGAAAGTTTGTTAGGATAATTCGTAGAACTATGATTCCTCTATCTAGAACTCTGCCCAGAATTCACAAAAAATAAATTTTTTGAAAATTATATTTTTTGCATTTTTAAAGTTCTGTAGATTCGTAAATTTTGAGTTAAGGGGAAATGTTTGTTAGGATAATTTGTAGAACTATGATTCCTCTATCTAGAACTCTGCCCAGAATTCACAAAAAATAAATTTTTTGAAAATTATATTTTTTGCATTTTTAAAGTTCTGTAGATTCGTAAATTTTGAGTTAAGGGGAAATGTTTGTTAGGATAATTTGTAGAACTATGAGATTTTGCATTTTTCAGCTATATTAACTCAATGTAACTGAAAAATAATTTTTTTTTTAAATAATTAATTTTTAACAATTTTTGAAAATTTTGGAAATTTTGAATTTTTTTAAAAATTAAAAAAATTTATCAAAAAATAAAAAATAATTTTTTTTTCAAAAATAATTAATTTTTAACAATTTTTGAAAATTTTGAATTTTTTTCAATAATAAAAATTATCAAAAATCATTAGATTTTGCATTTTTCAGCTATATTAACTCAATGTAAATGAAAAATAATTTTTTTTTCAAAAATAATTATTTTTAACAATTTTTGAAAATTTTAAAAATTTTGAATTTTTTCAAAAATTAAAAAAAATTATCAAAAATCATCAGAACTTGCATTTTTCAGCTATATTAACTCAATGTAACTGAAAAATAATTTTTTTTTCAAAAATAATTAATTTTTAACAATTTTTGAAAATTTTGAATTATTTCAAAAATTTAAAAAAATTATCAAAAATCATTAGATTTTGCATTTTTCAGCTATATTAACTCAATTTAACTAAAAAATAATTTTTTTTCAAAAATAATTAATTTTTAACAATTTTTGAAAATTTTGAATTATTTCAAAAATTTAAAAAAATTATCAAAAATCATTAGATTTTGCATTTTTCAGCTATATTAACTCAATTTAACTAAAAAATAATTTTTTTTCAAAAATAATTAATTTTTAATAATTTTTAAAAATTTTGAAAATTTTGAATTTTTTTCAAAAATTAATAAAAATTAACAAAAATCATTAGACTTTGCATTTTTCAGCTATATTAACTCAATGTAACTGAAAAATAATTTTTTTTTCAAAAATAATTAATTTTTAACAATTTTTGAAAATTTAGAAAATTTTGAATTTTTTCAAAAATTAAAAAAAATTGTCAAAAATCATTAGATTTTGCATTTTTCAGCTATATTAACTCAATTTAACTAAAAAATAATTTTTTTTCAAAAATAATTAATTTTTAACAATTTTTGAAAATTATGAAAATTTTAAACTTTTTACAAAAATTAATAAAAATTATCAAAAATCATTAGATTTTGCATTTTTCAGCTATATTAACTCAATTTAACTAAAAAATAATTTTTTTTTCAAAAATAATTAATTTTTAACAATTTTTGAAAATTTTGAATTTTTTTCAAAAATTAATAAAAATTATCAAAAATCATTAGATTTTGCATTTTTCAGCTATATTAACTCAATTTAACTAAAAAATAATTTTTTTTCAAAAATAATTAATTTTTAACAATTTTTGAAAATTATGAAAATTTTAAACTTTTTACAAAAATTAATAAAAATTATCAAAAATCATTAGATTTTGCATTTTTCAGCTATATTAACTCAATTTAACTAAAAAATAATTTTTTTTTCAAAAATAATTAATTTTTAACAATTTTTGAAAATTTTGAATTTTTTTCAAAAATTAATAAAAATTATCAAAAATCATTAGATTTTGCATTTTTCAGCTATATTAACTCAATGTAACTGAAAAATAATTTTTTTTTCAAAAATAATTAATTTTTAAAAATTTTTGAAAATTTTGAAAATTTTGAATTTTTTTCAAAAATTAATAAAAATGATCAAAAATCATTAGATTTTGCATTTTTCAGCTATATTAACTCAATGCAACTGAAAAATAATTTTTTTTTCAAAAATAATTAATTTTTAACAATTTTTGAAAATTTTGAAAATTTTGAATTTTTTTCAAAAATTAATAAAAATTATCAAAAATCATTAGATTTTGCATTTTTTAGCTATATTAACTCAATGAAACTGAAAAATAATTTTTTTTTCAAAAATAATTAATTTTTAACAATTTTTGAAAATTTTGAAAATTTTGAATTTTTTTCAAAAATTAATAAATATTATCAAAAATCATTAGATTTTGCATTTTTCAGCTATATTAACTCAATATTCAATATTATTCGTTTATTAAGACCCAACGGTCCATTCAAAATGGAAATATACAAAAAGAAAAAAAGAAAGAGAACAAGAAAAAAAAAAAAATAATAAAAAATATTACAGTTCATACTTAAACATAAAAAACAAAAAACATTTAATAAAACACAGAATCACTCAATCCATTCAAGTATTATAAATCTCGACCATCTTCGTGAACATTAAAACAAACCTCTTTATGATTGAAGTCTTAGAGGTAGAAAGAATACCCTTCCAGAATGACTCGCGGCAATCACAAGATAAAATTTCAGGGAAAAACGATATGCGTATGTCCTCAAAACGTGTACATTCCGTCAAAAAATGGTGCAAGTCACAACCGTTAAAGTTACAAAAGAGACAGTTATCGCGTGGCTTTAGATAGAGGAACAATTTGTTAGCCCGAATGTAATTTGTGTAAGAACTGGTAAGACGAAGTTGTGCAAAAACTCTGCGAGTATCGAGTTCCAATCTACTGAGCAAATAATCCTGCGTCCCAAACTTTAACGTAAGAAAAGGCCAAATGGGGAGGCTTCTTGAGTTTTCTCTAGAATGAACATCGCGAGCGAACAAGAATTTCGCATATTTTTGCAAGATTAGGTCCTTATTAACAACAGCAAGTTCAGGATTAGAGCAATCAAAACGGTCCAGTAAGCCACATTCACTTAAAAAATGTCTAATATTAAGAAACCAGTTGAATTTACCGCAACCTCGTCCCGAGGAGGCAAGCCGCGCAAGGCTAAATAGACACTGTCTTGGGTACCGAGAATTTTCCATAACACAAATTTTGCTAATCCAAGACAGGGATCTTTTGAGAATAATGAAAGAAAGAGCAGGCTTGCCAGTCTCGAGGCGGATAGCGTAACCAGGAATTGTCGGCGGGAGAAAAAATAAACGTTTAAAAAATTTGAGTTGAACTTTTTCTAATAAGTCAAAACATTGGTGACCCCAGATTTGAACAGCATATAAAAGTGAACTGATAACCAGACTATCAAAAAGTCTATTGTAAGATTGCCACGAGTCAGCCCTGGAACGGTATATGACACCCATTGTTGCGCCTATCGCTGAGTTGGCTGAGCTTACAAATTTATCGGCCGCTTCCTTAAATGAACAAGAGTTTGAAAAAATTACACCCAAATACATGTAACTTTTAACGACCTCAATCCTCATATCACCGCATTTAAAAGACGTAAACTTTTTAAAAGAAGAGTTGCCACCTCGATGAAAAATCACAATTTTTGTTTTATCGGTGTTGATGGCAAGGTTGTTTTTCGCACAGTAAAGACGCAATGCTTTAAGTTTTTTAGCTAATTCAGTTGGTGTGTCAGATAGTAAAACCAAGTCGTCCGCATATGCCAAAATTAGAATTTCGCATAAACTATTTATTGAAAGGCCCCTGCAGCCTTGAGAAATTAAGAACTGTTCGAGGTCACGAATAAAAAACGAGAACAAGAGAGGGCTAAGCACCTCTCCTTGCAACACACCTTGAGTGATTTTAACAAAGTTAGTTTGTCCGACATTACATTTTACAGAGGCGAAGGCATTTTCATAAAAGTTAGCGATAATTCTAATTAGCTTAGAACTGACACCGACCTTGTGTAATTTATGCCATAAAAGGTTGTGATCAACCGAGGGAAATGCACTCTTAAAATCTATAAAGGCGGCGAAGACAGCACTTTTAGGATGCCTGAGGTGAATCTGAATCGCAGACAGGAGGGTGAAGAGGTTGTCGACACAACCCCTTCCGCTCCTAAAGCCAGATTGAAATTCGGGAATTAAACGTTGCTCAATAGTCCAGTTAGAAAG